CAGGGGACGAGGTGAGTGGGGAGCACGAGGAGCGGCGTGCCTCTGATCTCTGGCAGCCTGCTCAGCTCACCTTGTTTGCAGTTCAGGAACAGTTCCTGGCAGTGTTTCACTTTCACTCACGCAGTTACTGTAGTTCACTGGGCACGCAGGCACAGTGAAAGATAAAAATGAACCCAAATTAAAGTGAACAAACTGTGCCGTTCTCTAGGTTAAATGCATGTCTTTACTGAATCTGGATTTGAGCCTTTTTTTTACTGTGAATTAGTTACTGTTGTGTACTGATTATTTTTCTGTGAGAAATCCCGTGTATAGATGTTCTTCCTTGTGTACCTCTGGGCTCTCTCTTGTCTCTCTGGTTAGTAACCACTGTCAGCTAGTTGTTGGAGGAAGGAAGGTGGTATTTGTGTAAGGCGGAGAAATTCAGTAAAAGAGAAGTAGCCACTTTGAATTCAGGCCTGTTTCTGTAATTTACTCTCACACAAAGCATAGAGCTATAACAAAACTGAAATCCAAAAGAAGCAATGCAGAATTCACATATTATTCCCTGAAGTGAAAAGTTATTAATAATTTATATTATTTTTTTAAATGCCACCAAAGTTCTACACACCCTTTCTGCTTCATTGTGACCCTTCTTATTGTTTAGTATTCTTCCTTGGATGTATAAAGTATTTTCTCAGTATTCTACCAGCAGTAAGTGTCAGAGTACTGATTTTAGATTTTCTTACCTACCTTACCTTTTCTTATGTTGTAGGTCAGTGGCATGAACAGTATATTTTGAGCCATTGCATCTTGCATAATGACGAATGGAGATCTTCCTTGCTGGAGGACGATCCATGATTAATATCATTAGTACGCTGATATTGCAAATGGCTCTACAAGGCAATCTGGCTGCTTTGTATGATCGGCATTCGAGGTTATTTGCCTGGATGTGCATGTGAAGTGAATGGGTCCCTGGAGTACCTTGATCACTGTACTATGTCTATACTAAAGCACAAGCCTGTTTCTGTCTTGGGTGAGGCTACTAGAGATTTACAGTAACTGACAGTGAGTGGAAATGGAGGTTGTGCTGTTTCCTTTGAGATCCTGAACCATTGAACCACTGAATAAGTTTCAAGCTAGTGATGAAAATCTAGACGTAGTAAGTTATTATGCACAGTAAGCAAAAAAATAGGGAAAACGAGTTACGTGAATAAATTAATAATTTGCTTACTGGGCAACTTTGCCATATTAGAAAAGACTAACTGCTATACTGTAGATAAACATATCATAAGCTATTTGTATTTCTAAAACTTGACTGTCATACTTCTTAAATCTTTTAAGTACCTCACAATTAAGTATTTTAAATAAATAGCTAATGAAATTGTCATCACACATTATGGCTGAACTGGTTTCATGCGTTGCATGTTGTTTCTGGAATCATGCAATGAAATTCATTTGATAATCCAATAATCAATGGACATCTATGTTTAGGAACAAGTGAAGGTTTATTCTGTATATCTGTATGTTTATCTGTTATTGTTTAAATCTTTCAGACAGAAATAGAAGTTAGATGATTTTTAGTCAAATCAGATAAAGCTAGAACTTTTACACAGTCCAGCCTGCTTTTGAACGTGTTAATGAGACAACTCTTCCCACACCTCTGGAGATACTGGGATCTCGAGAGTGACACCACACCAGTTATGATCTGGCACTTAAAGCTACTTTTTCATGTGTCTCTGAAAATAAAGGCTTTATTTCTACTTGTCTGGTACAAACGGATGGCATGTTGTTACACAGCCAGCAAGACAAATATCTAGCCATGCAGAAACACTGTAGTGGTGATTGATAAGAGGGACAAAGACACTTAGTACTTGTTCAAAACTGCTATGGAGTTCAATAGGTACTTCATAGACATGTGGCTTATGAGACATTTTTCCAGACTGATTAATGTTTTTCTAACAATTATGTATTAAAACCTATTGGTTCAATTAAATTTTTCATTTGTCAGTGCTGTTTCTGAATACATACCATAAAACCAGGCAAATAAAAGATTGCATTCATCCTTCATAAGATCTAGTTTGCCCTGGCAGAAATAAGATCCACAGAAAGTAGCTTACTTCCATGGTTCATAGTGCTGTTCAGTAGAATTTCCACTCACTTCACGTGAGCTTTGTTGGCTTTAATGTGGTCTCTGCTAGATCCGGAAGCTCAGCAGATCAATAGACCTATTGACCTGGTTTTCAGTGAAACAGCGTAACAGTTGGCATTGCTTTTTTTAAAGGGGTTATGGATGGGAATTCCCTCTTGCACAGAGCTCTGTCTCTCGGCAGCGGTCCTGAAACCTTCAATTCTGCAGCAGAATTGCAGTGTGGAAGGAGGAGGAAAGAACTGTTCTCGTTGTTATAAAAAACATCCCCTGAAGCGGTTCTTTGAAATGCTGTTTTGCATTCTAAAGCTTTTTGCTCGAGTGACAAAATTTGCATCATTTGTTTGTGCATTCAGGTGAACTCTAATTTTCCAGAATCAAAAGTAGGTGAGAAAATACTGGCTTGTCTTTGTACCTTTGTCATATCTTGCTAGATTAGTACCTCTAAACCTGTCCCTAGCTCACTTTGAAACAGACTCCGAAATAGATTCTCTTTGTTAGTAATACAGTGCTTTTAACTTGCTGATTACCTTTTCAGTGTGACAGTGTTCAAGACTGTCTGACTGCCACAGAATCCGCCCTTGTCAGTGCGTGCACAGGCTGACACGTTTTTGTTGTGGAAACTTCACTGTTCCTTTCACGGGCTGCAGAAACAGCTAAAGCGTGATGCCATTTAAAAAAAATCGTCTGTGTGATTCTGCTCTTCTGGAAGTAAGCCCAGGGATATGCCTGCTATTTTTGAGAGGCCTGTATGTGCTGGCTTGGCAGGGAGAGCCGGTCTGGAGCGTGTGTCACGTCGACAGGAAGTGGCACGCGCAGAGGGAGGAGAGGTGGAGCTATTCAAGTGGCAGGAGGAGCAGATGGGAGGCCAGCATGTCAGCCTGCAGAGGTAGCACTGGACCACTCACTGCAGGCGAGATGCAGGAAGCTGTGGTGGTCCTGGAGGAGGGCCTGCTGCAGACCTGACAGGCCTGACATGCCGAGCACATACAGGCCTCTCAAAAATAGCAGGCATAGGTGCCAAGCACAAGAGAAAGCCGCCACGTGGTGCAGGCTGGGCGCTGATGTGCAGGAACTGAAATCCAACACACTCAGTTGTAGAGTATAGAGTGGGGGCAACACTAACAGATTGTGCCAGAATTAAACTGGAGGACTGCACACGTCCTTATGTAAGTAATGGTCAGCCCGCAACGTGAACGTACGTTTGGAATCAGAAGAGGGGGAGGAGAGGGAGAGGTTTATCACAGAAATGCCGGCACAAGTGTGAGGTGTTGCAGAAAAAAGCACATTGAGTCCCGTCCTCTGAACAATGACAATATGAAACTCTACTGTAGACTCAAAAGTGCTTCTGGAACAGGCTGAGCCCTGTACTCTTTTGTGGATTTGAGATAGACCCCTTGCATGAAAGAAAGCAGTGCACTAAAAGATCTCCAGGGCTGTTATACTGTATATACAGTATATAGGGTGCAGTTTGATGGGAAAAGCTTTATTAAAGAAATGCTTAAAAACTTTCAGACATTAGTGTTCCCTAATACTCACAATGGAATTGATATTCAATTCTCTGTGCTGTTTATAAACATTTCAAACACAGAATAACAAAGTGCTCCTCGGTGATTCCTTTCCATCTGGTTCATTTGTAATATCTTTTCTTTTAGGGAGATCTTGACAATAGCATGACAAATAACATTTGTTCCTGTGTGCATATAGCACATACTGCAGATTCAAGATATGTACATTTGTTAAATGTGGGTATATAAAGTCATGCAACTAATCAAAAAGTAATTATTTTTTTAATTAATTGCTGTGGAGTGTATTGTGTATTTCTTTTTTAGTTCACTGCAATATATCCACAGTGTTACAATAAGAAATACAAACAGGAAACAGTGAAGCAGTTTTATGTTAATATGAATGAGAAGCATCAATTAAATGAGAGCCTCTAGTAAATTATTTTCAAGACATATTTACATACATTTAGCTTTCCAGAGGGTTCCCTGCCCTTGAGATTTGTGGAACTGCACTCACATGCAGTGTGTACAATGCAATACATATGTCAATATTCTCTCCCTGTGCCAAAAATCAATGTACAGCAGCTTTGTAGCAGGATATAGAGGAAGAAATTATTCTAAATTAGTTAATAAAAAATACACTTTAAACACATTGGGCAAGTGTCTGGAGATTTCGTGTTAATAAGCTTGCAACATGAGCTTTGAATTACAGTACAGCTTACAGATGTTTTTTTCAGATGAATTCATTATTAAATACATTTAAATGGTTTCCATGTATTCCAGAGACACAACGCTTAAACAAATGCTTATGCTTAATGATTTACTGTATGTTTACCGTTTGTTTGCCTGAGATATGAATAACACCAGAATTAAAAAATGACATTATTAGCAGCTTTGTAGATGTCCCCAGAGGTTTTTTCTTTTTACTTGTACCTTTGGGTGCCTCAGCAGTTTACCTTCAATTACTGAAACAAATCTGGGCAGCTTTCTGTATTGACATGGAGCTTCCAGTACATCGAATTCTCAGCTCCGGTCCTCATGTGCTGCAACGCAGGCACTCCCTGCAAAGTGGTTGTTTTCACATTTCCAGCACATAAAGAACTGGGAAAAGGTGGCAAAGTGGTGCAGTTAAGTTGTTAATTAGGTCGGTTAGGTATTGACGAGCTCAGGCGGAATGACAAATGCAGATACCGTGGCCCTCTAGGACCAGGGGTTGAGCACACTTGCTCTATAGGATGTTTTTTTTTTTCAGCATAACACAAGTTTGTTTTGAAAAACCCACTTCCACGGATCATGTCTTCTGCAGCGCGTAAAAAGGGGCGCAGTGCAAACCACCTGCGTTTCTCTCTCTCTTTGTCCCGGGTCGACAGGTGGCGCAGTTGTTCGTGAGCTTCGAAGAAGCGCCTCGAGGGGCAGCTTCCTTAGCGCAGGTGCACAGGGCCAGGCTGCGCGATGGCAGAGCAGTGGCTGTCAAAGTGCAGCACCCCAAAGTGCAGAGGCAGAGCTCCAAGGACATTGCAGTCATGGAGGTAACTATGGAGCAGTGACAGCAGCCACGGGCCCTCTGGGTGCCCCTCAGTGGCCGTGTGGAGTGTTCACCCCTGGCAGAACCATTAACGAGCGTCTGGCTCATGAGTGAATTGAGCCACCTCTGGGTCTCAGTCCCTGGTGTCAGGTAATTCATGGGCTGTGGAGCCAAATTCACTGGTCAGCAGCATCTGAAGGTCCCTGCTGGCTGAGGGCTTCTTTGTGAAATGTGTTTGAAAATACACCTGCTTAGGTCCTGCTGTGTAACACAGTGTCAATGGAAAACTTCTAATATATCCGCTTCACAAAATCCTCAAGGAATTTCTGTAGTAATTTGGCATCTGGGAAACTAGAGGAAGAAAACCTTTATTTAAAATGCAAAGACAGTTTTTAACTGTAGTTACTGTACATAGTTTTTTTTAGGGATGCTATTTGAAATTATAATACGAATTGGAGAATTGTGTCATACTGTATATTAAGTGAACAGTTGCTTACCAAATGTGATGTACTGGGCAGTAAAGTCAGTAATGGAATGTTTGCTAATTTTTTTAACTTTATGCACGTGTCTTACACATATAAAAAATGTGATAATATAATAATAATAATCCTCTTTATTTTGTATAAGTTCCTTGTGCACGCTGTGACCTGGCTGTTCCCTGACTTTGACTTCATGTGGTTGGTGGAGGAGGCCAGGAGGAACCTTCCCTTGGAGCTGGACTTCTTGAACGAAGGCAGGAATGCTGAGAAAGTGGCAGAGATGCTCAAACACTTCAAATTCCTCAAGGTATGACCATGTAGCCGCAAGATTCGTGGCAAAGAATGTAACCATGTCCAGCTGCAGTAGAGCTACAGCCTGGTTTGTAAACAAGGATGATGTGAATTTAGCTGGGGGTTTTATCTGAACTTGAGTGAAGGTACCAGATTTGGTATGCCTGATCCACAACCGTAATCCTTTCAGAACAGAAAAGAATCCAGTTTCATTTCAAACCAGTAGCTTTTAGCACCATGAATCCTGCTTCCTGAAGTGTCAGGGTTTGCCGCAGCCCAGTAGGAGAGATATGTAGGCACACGCAGTCTTACACACCCTGAACTTTCTAGTCCTCTTAATTATTAAAATAAGAGTTCCATATAAAAGGAATTAGTTCTTGGAAGTGTCCGGCACATACAAGTGCAAGGCCTGCTGGCTTTCCCAGCAGTTGATAAGAGATGCTATCGAGGTGACATAATACAAATTATATCTCAAGGAAATTAAAAATAAAGTACGAGATCAATAGTATCTTTGGCAAATCCTTTCCCCCAGACTTTTACTAATCTTTGCCAAGCTGAGGTTCAGGGAGAAAGCACGCACACAGATTCTGTCGAACGTGCTGCATGTTGCAGCTGTAGTACCAGGCAGCCCGCAACAGGATGTGCCAGGTGAACTTCGTGGAAGTAAAATTCATACAGAGTCGCCTACACAGGACATTAGCAAGGTGAGGAGGCAGGCAGGTGAGAAGTGCTGAGATGAGGGGGTGATTTTTGCCCAGTGATTGGGAGCTCACTGGTGAGGACAGGCATGAAAAGCCCCTTAGTGTCCTCAGGCTTTTAATCTCTCATTAAACGAGAGGGTTTAGTGGGTACTTGACACAGAGGTGTTGAAACTGTCTGATAAAGAGCAGCAGTCTGGTGAATTCTGACCTTGGAGTGAACAAGAACACACAGCAAATCTGTTTGAGATAGAAGGTGCTGAGGGGCACTTGAAGAGATGTTCTATGTTAAAACAGCCAATGTTTTCAGAAAAAGAGCTTCACAAGGTAAATAATCTGTCATAACAACCTCCAAGAGCTGCCCCACACATCCCTTTTTTATTTTTAATGAATAGCAGGAAGACCTCGCTCAGCCCTCTGATAATGAGAGGTGGTATGTGCTCTCTGCAGCTTTACATGGAGAGATCTTTGGGTTTAATGCAGCTTTTACAGTTTGCAAATTGGATGGCAGTGTGGCAACAATGGTGAGCTGAGTGAAAATAAAGCACTCTGTTCATTGCTGGATCCTGCATCAAGCTCATAAACAGGCAGAGCTTATCTACGTGTAATTTAGAATAAAAGGTTACCGACCTATTAATTCTGTCATTGTAGGATCCTATTCAGAAGCATGTCTGTGTATGAGCACTGTTCCAAAGGAGATTTTATTTCCAAAGAATTGCACAGCAATATGGTGCTTAGATGAAAACAAGATTTTGTTTTTAAAAAAAAGAATTATCCACAGAAAAGACATCAAAAGCAACCAGCCAGGTAATAAGAAGAAATACCCGGTATGTAGATAAAATAGCCAAACAAATAAGACTGCATTAATATATGAAATATGCTACAGTACGTAGTGTACTGAAGCACAGGTAGTCAGAAATGTGTCGAGACTCCTCTGATAATGCAGGAGATTAATGAAAGCACAAAGAGCTCATGTTAATTTAATGAAGCCAGGTAATCCTCTTTTCACCAATCTGTGCAAGCTGTCGTTGCAAGGTAACAGTTTTCTGGCTATCCAGGGACTTTATTTTTATTTAGCATCTGTTTTGAAAATAAATGAAGGGCATTTTCTCTGCATTCTTTTTAAGTTGAGTAAGTTTGAAAAACATATTAGTTAAAGTTCACTGTTTGACACTTTTGACTTTACATCCTAACATTGTTTGCCTGTGTAATTGCTTCCCTCGTTGTCATGAATATGGCAACGATGCGTCACATGTCATTTTTGACTGTAGCCTCTTCTATCTCAGTGTTTCCTAATTTGTATTTATAGCTTATGCTTTTCCTACCTACACATCTATATTAAACCTCATCTGCCAGGTGCTTGCACAGTCTTCAGCTTCATCTAGATGTTTTTCAGTTTTACTTGCTGCTTTTGTTGTTTGCTAATCCTCCTAGTTTAGTATTGTCTGCAAACCTGACTTGTTTACTAACTATGCCACAGTCTAGTTGGTTGATTTAAATTATGAAGTGCAGCAGTACTAGGACAGATCTCTGTGGTACTCCACTATTTACATTGTCACAGACCTATAAATACTGTACAACATTTATATACAGTATTTAATGTACAGTGTTCTGAAGCAGTTAAAACTTAAATGGGAATAAACTGTGTTTAAATGTTTTACTTCACCACATATATAATCAGATAAGTGAGACTAAGAACAATTTCCAGTTTGTGGTGATGACTTGGAGAATACCCACTTATACCTCATGGCATCTGCTGGAGGTATTTGAGTGAAGTACAACAGCAAAAGGTAAAACAGCAGTGCCCCACTGGGTTTATAATCCTTGACCTCCTAGTCCTAAGCACAACGTATTGGTACCCCAAACGTCAGCAAAAACTGAAAACTGTAGTGAGTGCAAGTACAATGAACAGTGTGTCACTGTGTGAAGAAAACCCAGCTGTCAGAAACAATGGCTCAGGGAGGGCCTGAGCAGAATGCAATCTCTCTTCCTGCCTGAGAGTTAAAACAGACAAGAAATTAGTTATATTGATTATTCCTTGCACGACACTGTCTGTGTTCAGGAGATAAAGCCATGGTTTGGTGGATTTTACTGTGAATTCAAAGTGCAATGAGAAATTAAAATAATCACAGTTTGAGTGAAGCTCAGCAGGAATGTGCTTTGTTTTAGGTGCCAAAGATTCACTGGGACCTCTCAACCACACGTGTTCTGACCATGGAGTTTATGGATGGCGGGCAGGTGAATGACAGAGAGTATATGAAGGAGCATGACATCGATGTCAATGAGGTAAGCATTGTTTGCTGAATTTGAATGCCTTCTGAAAGAATTCGAAAGTGATTTTCACCGTGAAGAAAGCAATCTTGTTTATACTGCAGGCATCAGCACCACTCTGGGAACAATCCCAGGCCTGGAGTGGGATAGGTGTTCAGTTCGCCGCCAGCTCATGGAATAATTCTGAAAAACTACCATTTCCATTAAAACTACCATTTTGGTCATTACTGCTTGAAAATGTTCAGAACAGAATTTCCAAAATCAATGAGTCACAGTCCAGGGGGTGCTCATTTTGCTCTTTGAATTGAAGACAATAACAAATAGGCATTCTTCTTTTCAGAACTTAGCAAAATTATTTAAATGTGATAATCAGACTGACGCTTACTCTGCCCTGCATCCCTTTACTTATATACACATATGAGGAAAAATGGGAAGCCATGAATGGATGTTCTATAGGCCCTATAGAGGACCTTATACTGAGACTGGCAAACAGTACAAGGTAAACCAAGGAATAAAATAACACTAATTTAAAATTCTAAAATAAAAATATGTGTGATTTGGCTGAGGTCTCATTTTTGGATTAATGTTGTTACCTTGTCAATTGATGATATTGTGTTTGAGATTCAGGCCAGAATGAATGTGGGGGCAATCTTTGATCCTTTATAGACTTTTCAATTACATGAAAAATTATCTTATTCTATCTTAGCTTATTGCCCGGCTGCGTTATGTGTTCATAGGAGAAAAACTGCTTCATGTGTTTCTTTTTTCAAGGATTGATTATTTTTAGGGTTTATTTGCAGGAGTCTCTACAACTGCTCTCAAGCCACAATGCCTGATGTGAGAATATGAATCTGGCAGCCAGAATTCTGACTAGGTAATGCATAAGTAATCACATTACTCCTGTCTTGGACTGAGTCCATACAGTGGCATCTAGTCAGATTTTGAGTTGATTTTGACGTTTTTCAGCTTATGTTCAAGACTCAACATAGTACATTTCCCTAGTATCGAACCAATGTGTCATGTGTTTACTGTTTCTGGTACTTTTGCTGCACTAACCCTGATATGCTATGAGCCTCCACAGTTTGTCTGCAGTCTGGGGGTGACAGAGCCTCTTGTTACTGCGCGCCCCAAGGCTCTGGAACGTCAGAACATCACCCTAAATTAATCCTAAAGTGCTCAGCCTCATCCAGTGCAGGCTAAAAGTTACATTTTCTGTGTCTGCTTTCTTTTCTTGGAATTGTCTTTAATTTTGTGAAATGCATTTTTTTCTATAAAAATCAATTTCTATTTTGCAAAGAAAGCACTTTGAGATGATTGCTTTTAAAAGATACTGTGTTGCTAATAATAGTACTAAAAAAAGATAAATGTAGAGAAACAGCAGAAAGAAGGGCCATCTGTGAAGGCCTGTGGAGCAGAAGGGACATGAGAAAGGCCCTTATAGTAACGTGCAGGGGCATTCTGTTTTGGGTTTTTTAAGTCAGTAAAAAGCTTAGATGGCTGATTACAGAGCTGGGAAGTACAGATTTTTTGGGGGGCTTTTGATTAGTTCAGTCTCTGGAAAAAGAGTTTCCGGGTTTTATATTGTCGTCATTACAGAGAAAATAAGCATACACGTGGAAATGCATCTCGTGGGCTGTGTCAAGTGATTACCTCAGTGGTGAAAGTGCAAAACCAAGTGATCACGTACACACAAATACAATGGTTTTGATACATACTGTATATTCATTTACATACAGTATATACACTTTTACACATATGTACAGTTTGTACCAGTTGCAGACATATCTTTCTTTATATATATAGGATATCTTTCAGAAGACAATTAGAAATTACTGTCCAAATATCTTGGTGTGTGACTATGTGTTTTGTGTATTGGTACACCCATAGCTATATATTTAGAGAAAAGGGGAGGGGTAGTTTATTTCTTTTCTCGAAATCCTTTAAATTGCAGGTGATTTGTTTTTCATTTATTTCTCTTGCCTTTAACACACATTAATGGAAATGAAAAGTGATTTCAGTCTGCCTTCTATTCTAATTTATTTACAGAGTGCTTGAAGAGTGATAGATTTATTTTTACTCAGTCTTTGCTTTTACACATTAAATCACCTTGTCATTACAGGATGCCCATGTAGAACAGCATTTTTTTAATTTGAAAGTTAAGGCTACTCCTGTTCCAGGCTTGAATTATTGGTGTTTGTTCATACTGATCATCATGGATTATCATTAAAGCATTTACTAAGGCATATTAATCTTTATGGATCAGTCTAATCCCTGGGTTGTAACAGTAGTTAATCATAGCAGTGTTGATTTGTAAAGACATTTCCAAAACACAACAGAAGCTAATATTGAAGCAGCATCTAGTTTATGTGCAATCAAAAACATTATACCATACTAATATGCTATTGATTGATAGATGGTTTCTTTTGCAAAGCAATATTGTGCACAGAGGAGGAGCTCTGTTTTTCAGTGAGGAAGACAGGAACATCACTGTCTCCTTTGATGCCCTAGGAACCAGTTCAAGCCTGTCCTGAATCTTTAGCTGGCGATACAGTTTTTCAAATAGATCAAACCCACTGATGCCCACTCTTAGTATTCTGAAAATTCTATTAAAGACATTTGTCATATTGAGAGGGCTGATTTCCTTTTTTGTCAGACTTTGATTAAATTTAGACTGTACTAGCTGTGTCTGTTTTCTGACAGATTATGGTCTCTGGTCAGTTTCACTCACTTTTTAGCTCTGCTGCAGGGTTTGTGTTTAATGGTGAATTGATTGTGTTACATCAAAAATAGTCTTGATATTTTCCAATTACAACACCACAGTTAATAGTATGATGTTCCTTTAAGAACTTTAAATTGCTTAAGCTTTTATAATGGAATTTCGTTGTCAATGACAAAGAGTAGAATAATTCTGTCTTTTTGCCAGATGGCATCTGGTTTAAGCGGTTGTGTGATTTAGATCGTTGTATTGGATTTGAGGGTGTCGCAGTAGGTATGTGTTTGCATCTTTTTTAAATGGCCCGTGTGAGGCCAGACATAAGATATTAGAGGAGAATCTCTAGAATAAATACAATAACAATAGCAAGTGAAGAGCAACATACTGTGATGGCCATTTTCAAATTTAGATAAAGTGGCAACCACTTCATGGCAGTTCTTTTCTGTTGTTTTGTCCTGGGGCAGTGTGGTGGCTCAGTGCCCCTCATTGCCAGGGCTTCTGGGTGCTGTTCCTGGGGTGCTGTCTGCATGAAGTTTGTACCTCCTCCCATGTTCACATGTGTTTTGTCCAGGTGCTCTGGTTTCCTCCCACAGTCCAAACACATACTGGTAGGCTGATTGGTTTCTGTGAAGATTGGCCCTGGTCTGAGTGTGTGTATTTGTGTCTGTCTGTGCCCTGTGATGGACAGGCATCCTGTCCTGGGTATATCCTGCATTGTGCCTGTTGCCTGCCAGGATAGGCTCCGGCGACCCCGTGTTGGATGGAAAATGAATGGATGGATGTTTTTCCTACGGATTTTAATTGTGTACAGGCTAAACAAGGACCCTATACCGTACATTTTAATCAAGTATGCCTGACGGTGAGATTATCATCATATGAATCGTTACTAACTTTTTTTATTTCCACTTCTGTTTTTTGACACGTCTGGTATTCCATATTCATATTTCCTGCTGCACCTACAACTGAAGAATTATCCATTAGTCTTTATGGAAACTCATTTTGGGCAATGCTTTACAGCCAGTGAACAGGCCTATCAGTCCTGAAAGCTTGTGAGTGCATTCGCTTTTGTTAGACTAATAAATGGATTCATTTTAGCACCTGTACTCTTCATTTATGTTAGACACCAAGGTTTTTTCCAAGAATTAGTATGCAAGTCTTCTAGTCGTTGTCTTGCAGAGCATGAGGCTTAAAACAACAGCCTTTCTTTCTTTATTTTACACCTAGGCTCCATCGTGGGTGACAGATTGGTAAATAAGAGATGACACCAGCCCTCAAGCAGAAATTCTGCTTCCATAATAAACAACCCTTAAACACAGAAATCACCTATGTCTTTATATCATGTCCTTTTAAATCTGCCTTATTCATATTTTTCACAATCTTGTGTATACATTATCTTTTTTTTCTTCAAGTGTCTATCTTTCTTTATACATTTTTCCCTTAACTGTAAGCTTGAACATTTTAAAATGCAGTTTGAAAGATACAGTCTTGGGCAATTAATCTGTAAAATCCTGAATTAGTGAACATCTGGATAAATATGCATAATAAAAATGGAAGATACTTACTAGGGCATTTCAGAGAATGACATAATTAACACCATTCACTTCAATGTAAAGGGAAATCTAATGCACAGTTCACTCTCAAATTAGTGCCTAGGGCTTGGACAACATAAAAGAATACAAACCTTTTGATTTGACATCACTACATCTTTTCCAATTTTTAATGCTATGAAAGCAGTCTTCTTCATTGAATTTTTTCAAAATAATTAGAGTTGTCGTAGGCTCATTTACTCATGTTGCGTATTGGCACTGCCAGACAGAATTCATATAGATTTCCAATCTGAAGACACTAATTAATTCTGTGCATGTTTACAAATTCAAAAGGTTTTAGAACTCTGAAATGAACAGTTTAAGGTGTTAGGAAGAAAAAGAAACTGAAAAACACCTGGCAGTAAAATGAAGACATCTCTGCAGGATTTTATTTAAATTTACTCAACGGAAAGAAATAGTTTGTAGTGTTTGTCTTGTACAAGCTCAAGATTGCACAGGGTTCATTTAGAGGTCTGTGGAACACTGTGCTGTAATCTTTTTTTTTTGCCTGTCAATTTAAAACATTATATTCCTGCCTGTGCAATGTGCAGTCTTGAAACACTCAACAGTTAAACTTCACAAATGTGTTATTTTCAAGTTAGGTCACTACAACTGGAAGAGATAACTTTAAGATAAGATAAGGCTGCTGCAATCCACTTAATGAGTTATTTTTCTTATAAATACAGCATAAAGTAGTGAGTACAAGTGGTTTTGAA